TAACAACTATATGTCCAAATGTTATCAAGGCACATCGGTTCATTGTGAATATTTCAAACAGATATTTAACTTTCTCTAGGACATTTGCAAACTGTTTAAAGTTTTGTTCAAGTTTATAAAATTCCTGGATTAACCTACTGAGGACGTATATTCCGATCTTTCGATGTCATTTGAAGATGCCAAGTTTTGGAGCACTTTCAAAAGAAGTTTAACTTTTTTATTTACTCAGATTTGTCAGTTCTACATGTATTTTCTTTACCTGAACCTTAGACTGAAAAGGGCAGGTAACAGCCATAATACCATGAAATATCCTCATTGCTGTCTCTGAGTCGTATATCGTGGTTGGAAATGGGCCGCAACATTGCCGTAGTCTTGCTGGTGATCCGACACAATTGGTCGCTTTTACGCACAAGGAGGCAATCTCGAAAAATGCTTTTTTAAGAAAATGGAAGATAAAGTTTTTGCCCCTTGTTCAGTTTCTTTAAAAGACTCGGAGAGTTTTCTCTATAACGAAACAAATATATACATGCCAATGAAACCAAACTTCTCCTACAGGTAGGGCAATGCCCACTTTTGGTGTAGCTCAAGATTTCTGGAAACCCCCAAATCTGGGTTAGCCCGCTTGTCCTTAAAAGCGACCAATTAAGATAATATAAGATAAGATAAGATAAAATAAGACTTTATTATCCCAGAGGAAAATTTTTCTTGGCTGTACATGACCATAAAATTTAACACATGCGGGTATACATAAAAATTTTAATTATATATTTCTCTCATTAAAATTCAATACCTGAAAAGAAAAGTAAAGCTGACAAAATGTACGTATCATATCAGATGCATGTCGTGTCCCCTACATTCTCAGAGTTCATGAATTATCCAACCAGTGTAGGAGGAGGCACTATAATAATATAGGACATGTGGGTTTTTTTGTTAATGAAGAGGGACTTGCAATGAAGAGAAAACATGACTTCTCTCTCTTTTCACTGGTAGAGCTGGCATTTTCTTGAAATCTTCGGCATTTTGTGAGGGTTTTTTGGCTAGAATTTACCTTTTATTCAAATATTAAGGTAGCAAGAGTTCTTATCAGCTGAAAAAAACTAGTGCTATGTATTTTTGCGCTCTGTTTTTTTTAATATTTTGTATGATGCATGTTTTGAATTTTACAAAAAATGTTGCTGCTAAACATTTTTTAAAATACAGTTTGTATGTACAATATTTTTGCTTGCAAGCAGGCGGTCTTGGTTTGAGCAATGAAATGATGTCATATTGCGGCTGAAACAATCATTATGTACCAAAGATTCCTGTTTTAGTCAACTAAACGTCGCATGCCGTAATGTTTTCTCGGATCATTGTTCCTTATGTTATTTGTGTATCTGTATCTTGGTAACGCTTCCCTGAATTTTACTAAAGCGCATTTTTTTCAACTGTTTTTCGATGATTTTGTCGTAATAATGCTTTGTCATTGTGGGTTTTTTGTTTTTTTTGGGTAAGTGTTTTACGGCGCTCACAACTGCATAAGGTCATATGAGTGCGTGTAATTGTGTATAAGTTTGGGTGTGTGTGGGGCCCACAAACTGTATCCATATTTGCTCAACTTGCTGGGAATCATGCCTCTGAACAACGAGAAGTCTGTCAAGCTTTCTGCTATATCAGCTGAAATATTTGTTGCCACACAGGACATAAACCATGCTGCCATAAGCTGATAAGTAAAATGCATTTTTTTCATTTTGGGCCCTAAATCTTGTATTTGCTAAATCGGAAGCCTGACCGAAACGGTTTCAAAATAGAAAATTAAATACAGCCAGAGGAAACAGTTTTAAAATAGAAAATAAAATATTGTTCATTGTTGGTTTTCCCCACTTTTTCAAGTGTTTCACCCCATTTGTGGATTCTATTACGGCTCTAATTAAAGACCATCTGTATAATCTACATGTCTTGTCCTTTTATTGATTGACTTAGACAACCTTATTTACTTGTCCCATGTATCCTTTTGCTTTGTCCCATTCAGCCCTTGCCTGTCCCATCCATCCCAGCTTCTGATGAAGTACGAAACAGTCGAGATGTAGAAAAACTAATGGGCTTTAGTTGATTGATGCCAATCTGCCGGAAAACGATCCAAGAGGACAAACTTTTAGCACAAGTCAAAGGTTTATTAATTACAACTCCACTGGTTTCTGAGATATATCACTTGGAGTAAAAAAAATCCAAAATATTTAATTGTCCCACGTATCCCAACCTTCCCCTGCTGCTAGTGGAGACTTTTTTAAAATTGACAGAAAAATACAGCTAGTGGAAATGGTTTTAAAATATAAAATAAAATACAGGTTGTGGAGACGGGCGGCTTAAAAATATAAAATAAAATACGGCTAGTGGAGACGGTTGGAAAATATAAAATAAAATAAAGCTAGCGGAGACGGTTAAAAAATAGAAAATAAAATAAAACTACTTGAGACGGTTGTAAAATAGAAAATAAAATACAGCTAGTTGAGATGTTGAGACG